ACATAATTGAGTATCTATCAACTAATGGAAAGTATTCAAACTTTCCATTAGTTGTGAAATAATAGTAATTTTCTGACTAGTAGAACTCCAGTTTGTGTTAATTCGGCTTACTTTAATAATCAAATTTTAATCAATAGTCGAACTCTTGAAACCTTGGAACTAAGAAACGAATGAAACTCTTAACAATTTTCGTTTAATTATGCGGTAGAACTCCATTTATACGAATTTCATTTATTTCAATCAAATTTTATTAACATTAGAACTACTTACAATTAAAGTATAAAGTTTGCAGCAGAAAAATTAAAGTGCAAGGGACAGGAAAGAAATTTATAATATAATAAAGAATACAACCTTTTATTTATATATTTTACTAAAAATCAGCCTTCGAAAACTCACTGTTGTAAATATATAAAATTCCTGTGGAAAATTATAAATTGATTATCTGACCACTTCTAAGTAGTTCTAAATCAACTCTTGTTGGTCAAATCCACTTATTTGTACATGAAGCAAATTTTGTTCTAAAAAATGATAAGAATTCAAACCTCTCTAAAATCATTAAAAATTTGTTTTTCCTGACTAGATTCACCATGATCTTGAGCATTGAAGTCTCCTCTCTATAACGAGCTTTCAAAACTTACTGCACGATTTTTTTTATTGAACTTGTTTACTCGTCAACTATCGGCCTTTTTTTTTACCACGGATTATTTTAGTGAAACATTATTAAATCTCTTATAAATTTAAAAGGTCGCTCGCGTTACGTACAGTGATTAATATTCAGACACTAAATATGACGAAACTGATATAATTTCCTAAAAAAAGAAATCATATACAACAACGAACCTAGGCTTATTTCAATGTTTGAAGCCTCAACTTTCAAAGGGCATCGTTCATTTTATTCTAAGATTTTACATATTTATAAATAGACAAAAATTTATTTAAACAAAGTCAACCACTGATATAATCGTTGAATCGATTGCAGGAAACAGCGGACACGTGAAAAATGCAACCCTTCACGTGCAGTATTTTTCTTCTGATGGTGGTGTCGATCGTGAACGGGAGACCCGATTTTTCGGACTTACCGCCTGGCCCGTATTGCGCTAAATCGTATCCAGACTGTTGTTCGGGTCGCCAGGACGAATGTAATGCACCGATCCTCGACGGTGTTTGTTACTGTGACGATTTCTGTGACCGATACAGGGAAGAGGATTGTTGCCCAGATTTCTGGAGCCACTGCAAAGGAATCGAACCTAACGTCACTCTACCACCCCCAGATAACATCAAACGTACGTAATCGATAAGAATTTATTATTTAACAACCGTTTCTCAAAAAGGTGATACTATCCACAGACAATTCTTGTTTCAGGATGCTTTTACCAGGGGAAATATTACGATCACGAAAAAACGTTTAAAAACAATTGCAACATATGGTATATATATTTATTTCGCATATTGCAGACATTCGACAGATTTTCTTGCCGACTTACAGTGAAGAGTATACCTGAACCAATAGCGATAAAAAAATTATTGTTATTTTAAATTTTTATAACTTTGTAAAGAAAGAAGTTGTGCAACAGTCCATTTGGTCTCATTTTAAAGCACAAATCTTGTAGTGTAATTTAACTATCCTGAGTTCATTTTTCTTAAAGATATTCTTAAAACAATGTAGCTGTAGCTGATGAGAAGGTAAAGATACTTTTATTCTCGAGATGTGAACGTTTCTAAATATATCGAGAACTTCGTGAGGATCGAAGATCGAAGTATTTAGTTCCTATAATTTCCTTTAAAATTTTGTATTATTTT